CCACAAAGGTCTGTATTGTCCCTGCTTGGTCCTGGGAGCGTGGAGGAGGTGGGAGATGTGCAGCTTCCCCTCTGGAACTGCCTCTGCCCCTCCTGTGGGACCTCAGAGCACCCCGTGCCCTGTGCATCGGGCTGTGAAGTGCCACCAAAGAGGTTAAGGGCTAAATTCTCAGCTAAGGCAAACTGGTTCTAAAGTCAGTGGCGTGGCACCATTTGTCCCAGAGGAGGCTGTGACTCTGCATATTTATATATATATTTATATATGTGTGTGTATAGATATATTACATAAATATATATGTATGAAATCATCTCGGACCCATCGGAGCCAGCATGCTGTGCTCTGGCGCAGGGCCGCAGGGGCTGCCAAGGCACCTGCTCGCCTCCTCCTGCTCCCCCAGCTTCAGTTCACAAGTGGGAACAGTCTTGGGTTGAATGGGAGCTCACACACACACACACACACACACACACACACAGAGGACACGGTGCAGGGGCTGCCAAACAGCGGCGGGATGCAAGTCCAGGGGTCCCTGAAGAGATCGGATCAGCGGCAGCCAAAGGAAGGGGAAATAAATAACAGAGGGGGAAGCAGCGGAGGGGATCTCACTTGTGCCGGAGCCCACTGCAGCATCGGGTCCCCTGTGCCTGCCCAGGCCCCTGTGGGCACACAGGGACAGTGTCACAGCCCTGCTCTGGGCTGCCTGGGCGGTGCTGGGGTTGGAGGAGGCTGTGGGGTGCACACGTTCTTGCTGCGTTCACCTTGGACCCGTGTTCTCCTCCAGCACCTGCTTTGCTTTTGCTCTTGCTCTATCCCAGGACCGAGATTTTGCTGGCTTGGTTGTCAAGGATGAAAGGGAAACTCCATCCCCAGCCAGCCCTGCGCTTCTCTCTGCAGAAAGTTTGCATGGAGCTGGGTTCGGTCCAGCTCAACCCTTCCCACCACAGGAAACCTCTGCAGACCTCCCCACAGACCTTCAGAACAGAATTACACTTAGAAAATGCCTCCAAAACCCTAGAAAAACCCCGCGCCCCATAAATATAACCAGTTTCTTCCAAAACACCTCTTCATTCCCCATCCCACCCTCCTTAAACATCCCAGGAGATCAATGGATCCCAGCTTCAACACGCTCCGAGTGCTCACCGCTGGCTGCAGCGAGGATGGAGAGATGGGAAAGCAACTGAACTGAGTGTGTGAAGAAGCAACCTGAAGGCTTTGGACCACGGTCCCCCCAGCCCTCTCCTCTGCAGGAAACGGAAAGCCCCCCGGGCTGCAGCAGCTGTGGATCAGCTGGGGAGCAGGACGTGCTCCAGGAAGTAGCTGATGGAGTCCCAGTGCTTCCAGAGGAAGAAGAGGAAGAGGACGAGCAGGGCGGTGCTGAGGATGCGCATGCGGGTCTTCATGAGCGGGGTGATGAAGTTGGCGATGGTGGAGACGAAGACGAGCAGCACGGCCATCAGGGCCAGGATGACGTTGATGAACTTGCCCAGCAGCGCCCGGGCGTTGGCGTTCTCCACCCCTTCCAGCTGCACCACTTGCTGCTGCTGCTGCTGCAGTTCCAGCTTGGTCACCCGCGTCAGGCAGGACTCCACCGCCTCCTGCAAGGGACAGCACGTCAGCAGATGGACCTCATCTGCCCACCCTCTCCCCCTCGCCCCATGGATGGAGGGTGCAGAGGGCTCTGAGCCATCACGCTCCCCTACCTGGATGTCCCGTGCCCTCTCGTAGGACTGGTAGGCCACCTTCTCCTCCATGCTGGCCAGCTCCTGCTTCAGGTTGGTCATTTCGTTCTGGTGCAGCTCGGTGAGGTCGTTGAGCTGCTCCTCCAGGCGCTCGTACCTGCACACAGGGGATGGAGGGGTGCTGGGGCAGGAGGTCTCCCCATAGAGAACCCCCTGCCCTACTTCCCCTGGCACTGGAGAACCCCCTTGGCCCCACCTCACTCCTGGTTCTAGCTGGTTATGACGCCAAAGGGATGGGTCTGTCAGGAAGGAGGGCAATGGGGATGGCAGCTCCCCATGTCCCTGGCTTAGCCAGACAAGCCCTGTGGTTCCCAAAGAGCCATGGAATGGTTTGGGTTGGAAGGGACCTTAAAGCTCCTCCACTTCCACTAGAGCAGCTTGCTCCAAGCCCCTGTGTCCAACCTGGGTGATGCGCTTCCACCCTGGCACCCCCCCCATCCCTACCTGTACCGCTCCTCCTGCAAGCACTGCGTCATGTAGGTGTAATCCCGTTGCAGCTGCGTCTTGAGGTCCTCCATGGAGTCCTCCAGATGCGACTGGCTCTCCTTGATCTCCCGGAGCTCCTCCAGGATGGTGTCGAAGTTATAGTGGTGGCTGTCCAGCGTGTTGCACTTGGGGCTCCCCAGCCCGCCGGCTCCTGCCCCGGAGTTGCTGCCTCCAGCCGAGCCGGAGGTGGCACTGGAGCACTCGTCATCGCTGCCGTACTTGGGGCTGGAGACCAGCGTGGCGCTGCCGCTGAGCGCGCGCGAGGCCTCCTCCGGGTGCCCGTCGTCCAACGTGTCCTTGAGGTGCGCGATGTTGTCCGCGCTGCCGAACTTGTTCCGGATGAGGCTGGCGAACTCCCGCGGCTTGGAGACCACGGCGGTGTGCGTGGCCTGCGACAGACCCGAGAGCCCCCCCTTGACGCCTTCCACCACGCCGCCGCTGAAGCCGCTGATGCTGGAGCGAACGTTGGCACCCACGTCCTTGAGACCCTGGTGCATGTCCCGGAAAACATCCTTGGGCTGCCGGGAAGGGCCGTTCTGCTCGATCTCCTTCAGCTTCTTGTGGTAGTGCTCCAGCTTCTTGTGGAGCTGCGCGATGGTCTGAGCCGACTTCTGGTTCTTCTTCTCAAAGACCTGCTTGATGCGGGACGCCTGCTGCTTGTCCGCGTTGTTGGCCAGCTTCAGGTACTCGGCCACGTTGTCGTCCCGGGCCTCCTGCTCGATCTTGATCTGCTCCGTGATCTTGAGGATCTTCTGGTGCAGGTGCTCGATGGCCGCTTTCGTCCTGTGCGGGTCGGGGGTGCCCTCGGGGACGTCCAGGCAGATGGTGCCATCGGTGTCGCCGTGCCCGGCGGCGGAGGGCAGGCTCAGCGCGGTCACATCCCCCTTGTCCAGCTGCGGGCAAAGAGAGAGGAGGATGCTCAAGGGAGAGAGGTAACGGCCTGGGGAGAGGGTAGGAGGGGAATGGAGCTGGGCAGGAGAGCAGTTGACCAGAGCGATGGCTGCATCACCAGCAGGTCATGGCGGGGGTTCTCCCCCTCTGCTCCACTCTGGGGAGTGCCCCCCGCAGTCCAGTGTCAAATCTCCACCAAACCAGCGGAGAGCTCAGGAACTGAGCAACCTGGAGGGATTTCAGTCTCCTTTTCAGGCTTTGCCTTTTAGCCTCCTGCCCGCAGCAGAAGGGGAACTGCCCCAGCCTGGTCTGTGGGTGTCTCCTGGTCCCCAGGGAGCAGCAGGCTGCAGGAGCAGGGACTCCTCTGCTTGCTTTTCCAAGGTTTCTCCCCTGGCAGGGCCAGACTCCTCCTGCAAGCACAAGCTGCTGCCTGGGAAGCTCAGGCACAAACCCATTCCCATCTTACAGACTTTGGGAGAGCTCCTCGCCTGAGGCCACGCTTGGAATCACCGGCAGAGCCTGGACTGAAAGCCAGGTCCTGCCTCCCACGCTCCGCCCTGGCCGCGCTGCTTGGAACAGTAAATCACTGAATCCTCCCGGTTCCTGGGGTTCCCATGCAAATCTCAGTGGTTGTATAAATGGCTCCTGGCATCTAATTGAGCTGCTTGAGAGTTAAATACTGTTGGCAGACCTGAATAATGTCTAATTTCCATCACACTTTCCCCGAATGACCCTTTAATAGGGATAATGCTGCGAGATCATTACTTAGGAGCGTGTTATCACCAGGAAATGCCTTGTGCAGGAGGGAGGAATGTTCTCAAGATGCTGCTTAGGAACACTCCGGCCTGCAGCAGGTCCTGCACGGGGCTGGGAAAAGGGGGAACAAACACTGATGTTTCCTTGCATCTCCTCCTTCCCTGGTGCTGCTGTCCTGCTGGGAGCCTGCAGGCTTCCTGCCAGGGTCTCAGCACGGAGACAGAGGATTTCGCTTGGGTTTCTTATCAAAGGGCAGAAATTAGAAGCAGGAAACAGACTTTTTTTTTGTCCAGATCTGCAATTCTTTGCACAGGGACAAACCAGACAGAAGGAAAAGGCAGCCCCGGAGATGCTGAAAGGGGAAAGCTCAGTGGGGCACTGAAGGGGAGAAGTTGCTCAAGCTTTGTTTCCAAAGAGGGGAAAGGTTTGGGAATCACCCAAAGCTTTGCCCCTGCAAAGCTGATCTCTGGGGTTTATTCATTGGAGCATATTTGGGAGGGTAGGAGGGTGGGGAATGGCATGTATCCAATGCTGCTGACCCACGCTGACAGGCCTGGGGTGAAACCTTCACCTGAGCCCCACTGAAAGCTCTGCTTGCCCTCAGCCACACCATGGGAAAGCCCCATGAGGTTATTGCTTTGAAAGCAACCCCCCAAAAGAGACAATACCGATCTCTGCAGCATTACCAGCCACTGCCTGCTAAATCCCAGCAAGCCTCGATGACTGTGCAGTGGATTTAGCAGGGGGATTAATAGAAGGCACACTTTCCCTACATGCAGAAAACCTGCTGCTTCGGCACAGCGAAATGAAAGGGCTGTTTCCTAGCGCTTGTTTTCCAGGCAGGAGAGCAGGGGCTCATGTGGGATGCGGGAGGAATGCAGGACGCAGGGAGGGAAATTGTTATCAACAGAATTCAACCCAGGACAGCTGAGATATGCTAAAGGCTCAGGCTAAGGAGCTGAGCAAACAGGACCTGGAGGGCCACGGCTGGGCACAGTTATGCAATGCTGGTTTCTTTGATGGAGCAAAGCCTCGTGGTAGGTGAGGAGCTTGGGGACCGGGTTGTGGCTGTGGCCCCAGCACAGGGCTGTGGGGGTCCCTGCACGCCCCGGGCTGGAAGGGATTGAAACCCATTGCTAACAAATTGCACAATAATTGCAGAGCTCAGCGCAAAACTCCCAGGACGCTCCCTCATGCCCTGAACTATTCCAGTTTCCATCCCCTTCAGCCTACTAGGAAGCGCAGTGGATGAGCTCATGCCGTGGCTCTGGCTCCACACCCATCCCGAGCAAGGACTTTCCCTGTGAGATGTGATCGTGGTTCCAAGCTGAAGTACAACGTGGGGATGAAAGCTGCACCATGAGCACCTTCAAGCGTGGAGAACACAAGTCCCACCGAGCTGCCAGGGAATGCTGGGCAGACCCGGGAGCTGCTGCTCTGAGCTGGCCCCTCTTCCTCAGAGCACTTTATGGGCACAATGTGGGACAGGATCCACCCCATGGGTTGATGACTGCAAATCAAAGCCAACGTGACAGGGGCTCTGGGTGTCCCCACGTGCATTCACAGCCGGAGCAGAGCTCTCATCCCCCTCGACCGCGTTACCCATCCCAGGGCTTGAAAATAGAAGCAGGAGCCCTGATTCACACTTCCCAGCCTCCTCAAGCCTGCAGCAGGGACCCGAGCAGGCAGCCCTGCGTGCTCCCCTGCCAGCCCTGCATGGACACAACAGGCCGGCAGCAGCTGCCTCTGCTCATTCACCGGCTTGGGAATGCTTTTCCTTACATAATACAGGCAGGAACGTGAAGGTTTCAGCTCGCAACGGAGCTCCCACCCCTGCGCCGGCACGGACCGTGCCGGTGGGTTTCATTCACCGAGCGCCAGCAGCGGAGGTAGGTAAAGCCCCCGCGGCTCTCCCTGCCCATCACCATCCTCCCCACCCCAAGCAGCTCCAGCACCTACCTCCATCGCCGGCAGCGCTCGGGTGCCCCAGGGCTACTCGGTGTGGGCAGCTCGGCCGCGTCCCCGCTGCATCCCGGAGCCGGGCAGTGATGCACGGGCAGCGCTGGCGGCCATGGCCGGGGCACAGCGGCAGCTCCGGCAGCAAAGTTTGGGGGTAGCAGCGAGCGGGGGGGAGAGGAAAACCCCGGTGCAGCCCCCGTCAGGGCTGGCCCCGTGTCCCCGAGCGCTTCCCGAGCGCGCCGGGCTGGAGCCGATGGCTGCGGCGGGATCGCCGAGCCGGGAGTCGCGCCAGAGCTGTTTACAGCTCCCAGCGCCGGCAGCTTTCAGAGCTGTAACGCAACCCCCCCGTCCCTGTGGCGGGATATTCACACGCCTCCAGCCCCATACGCTGCCTGTGCCCTGACGCAGGGGGTCGGGACGGGCTCCTGTCATCTGCTGTGTCACGTACCAGGGCACGGAGCTCGGGAGGGGCAGCAAGCACAGCCCCGGCTGGGACCGACACGCAGTCGTCAAGCGGGGATTGGGAACTGGGAAGCCTGAGGGAGCTAAAAGCCACTTGCGCCAGGACCTGGTGGTGTCTTAGCCGACACCATGCAGGGAGATGGACCCGGATCCAGCCCGCTCACACCATGGAGAGTGATGGGGAAGGCTGCACCGAGCCGACGGGAGAACAGGCGATGCCCCGGGAACACATCCAGCCGGCTGAGCAGATACAAGTGCTGGAGATGTTAAATGGGACAGCCAAAAAGCAAGCAGCGAGCTCTGGGTCTGCAGGAGCTGGTGGCAGTTTTGAGTCACCCTCCAGGCACTGCATTATTGCTGGGGCCAGTGGAGCTGGTGAGGGGCTAAAGCGAGATTCCTGGGTGGGAAAGGAGACCCAGAGCTGTGATTTGAGCCCAAACCGGTGGGGTTGCACAGAGCAGGGTGATGTGGCCCCTGCTGCAGCATCAAGCCTGGATAAGAGTGATGGAGGGAAGCAGAATTCAACCCACAGACTTACACCAAAGCCCTCAGTGCACAGAGCTGATGCTGGGGCTGTTTGAAACAGCCGGAGATCAGAGCACCAGTGCAGCCCCAGACCAGGAGCTACACGAGGAAGGGTCATTTACAGCTCTGGTTTGAGCTGTTTCTCATTAAAATCCCAACCAAACGATGAGACAACAGCAGCTTAGGAAGCATTTCCAGGCACACAGTGAATTGTGCAGGCCAGACCGATGAGCTGATCGTGACCCAGATGCATGTTTAATGGGGAAGACTGTGCTGCTCCCACCGCTGAGCCGAGCCCAGCACCGCTCAGCCTCCTGCTTCCCATCACCTCGGACTTCCTCTACATCCATCCATGCCCTGGCAGGGGAACCTGCTGCCTTGGAGAGGCTCTGGGTGCAATGCTGCACCTCTGAGCGATGGTGCTCGTTGCTGCCTGTGCTGGAGCTGGCCCTGCCCTGGCAGGGATGGATCGGGAAGGTTTGGTTCCACAGCTCCACAAAAGCACCATCCCTTTGGTCCCTTCTCATCCTGCGAATGGAGCCTCCCTACACCTCACCACAGCCACCAGACACCCTTGTAACGCCGGCAGAGCTTCCCTGTGGGAATGCTTCCCTTGCTGAGCTCTGACAGCTCCGGAGCAGGGGCTGCCTGTGCTGCTCAGATAACCTCAGTGAAACAGCAGGAAACCGGCACAGCAGCAGCCTTGCCGGGGCTGCTCGGAGCTGGGAAGGCATTTCCTTGGATCACCTTCAGCCCTCCCAGCCTGTGCTTGCAGCCCTGGACACAAGGAGCAGGGAGGAGGCAGAGCCGGAGCAGGCTCTCATGGACCGATCCGTGATGTGAAGCTGCCAAAGCACAGTTCAGCACCAGGAACTAAATCCCTTGGATGCCTTTAGCCCAAGCTCTGGATGCTGTGGCCCCAAATTCCTGCTCAGGGTATCCCCAGCCATGCCTGGCAGGGGTTTGGATGAGAGTGTTTGGGGGCAAGGGACAGGCTGCACCAAGCCCCTGTGTTTCTCAGTCTGTCCTCTCCAGAGGACAGGATCTTGTGGGCAAAAGCCTCCTTTCCCCATCTGCGTGAGCAACCTTTGTGCATGCCAGTGCTGAGCCCCTTTCCTGTACGCTCACCCATCAGCAGCGGCTATGGTACCATCCGTACCCAAAGCCCAAAGAGCAGATTCCCCAAGGAAGTCACAGCCCCCAGGAGCAGGAGCCAGTTGTGCCTCCCATGTGGTGCTCAGCCTCGACAGGGAAGGGTGAGAAGGAGCAGGGATCATCCTGGAGCCGCACAGACACTGCAGCCAGGGTGGGGTTTGCAGCCTGGCCAAGCCCGGGGCCGTGGATGCCTGTGGGCAGGTTACTGAGGGACATCATCTTTGGGTTGCTGTCTCTCATAGCATCACTTCTCGGTTTAGCTCAGGAGCCAGAGGTCACTTCCCATCGCTCTCAGCAGGGTGGGAAAAACCCCCAGCTGCACAAGCACTCTGGAAAACACCCTCTGCCTCCCAGCTCCCCCTTCTGGGGCTGCCCCAAAGCCCATCTGCTTCCCTCACAGCCTCCTGGGGCTGCCAGGCACAGCCCTGCTTCCTGATAAAGAACTTGATAAATGCCAGGATGCTTGAGATGAGACTTTGTTATTCCTTGGACACGTCAGGCAGCTGCATTCAGAGGAAACTGCCTCTTCTCAGCTCCCCAGCACAAGGGGAATTTTAGGAGCAGCAAATAATGCAGAAGCAAGACCGGTGCCTGTTGATGCCCCAGCAGAGCAGCAGTGCAGCTTCTTCCCTCCCTTTCACATGCAGAAACCCTGCTGGGATGGCAAAGAAAATCCCTGGATGGCCACAAAATCACAGCACATTTGGTGTGTGCTGGTGCTGGGTGGTGCAGAATCCAGCCCTGAGCACCTACAGAGCCCTGGTCCGAGCATCTCAGCCACGAGACGGGTCACCTGGTGATGCCACACAACATGCAGAGCAAATGGTAGGCTTGGGCTTTGCCTTTACATCCCAGCTGCGGATGGGCTTAGCATGGAGAAGCAAGGAGGAATTCCGGCTGAGCTGCACTAGAGTGCTCTCAGCCAGGCTGGGAAAGCTGCATATGGATTATTGGGAGCCAGGACACTGCTCCTGAGCCTCACGTTCCTGAGTGCATTTGGTGTCCAAAGCAAGTGGCTTCTTGGCCAAGATCTCAACCCTTGCAAGTGGGCAGCTGCACAGAGCCCAGCAGCAGCCTGACCATCGCCTGCAGCTCCTCACCCGGGCATCCCGAGTCCTTGCCTCGCCTAAGGAGCAGGAAGGAGAGCAGAGGGGAATACTCACGAAGACACCCAGCAGTGAATTTAGGAGCAATATCCTTTTCCCGGGGCAGGGCTCGGGAGGATGCAGCTCTGCCATGAGGATGCCCTGGTCACTCCTGCAAAGCGCCTGGCCGCTGCTCCGGGAGGCAGCCGCATCCTCTCCCTCTGCCATGGCTGCGGGGAAGGAGCCGAAGGGGCCGAGGATCGCACAGGGAGCGCTTGCAGAGGAGGCAGCCGAGGCTCTGAGGCAGCCAAGAACAAGCAGCACAGGCTGGCGAGCAGGGAGGGAGCCGGGAACAGGCTGGGTGCCACAGGGGCCGGTCCTGCTCCTCCACAGGGCGCTGGGAGAACAACAGCACCGCCAAGCTCTGCCTGCCCGGCTGAGCTGGGACGGTGCCACCGTCCCATGGGGCTCTCGGGGCAGCAGGAGGGGAGCGGATCCAGGTGGGCAGATCCCGGGATCCATCCCTTGGGCTGTGCCCACCCCTAGCCAGTGTTCCCTCACCTAGCACCGCATCCGCCAGGCTGGGGACTGTCCCCTGTGCTTGCAGGTCAGCGGGAGGGACAGCTCTGCAGGGAGGGCTCAAGGACCCCTCACGGGTGAGGCTGCTCAGGGCCCTGCCGACGCTTGGAGCATGTGGACAAACCCCCACTGCTGTACAGGTAATGGCGCTGCCCTTTCTCTTGCTGGGGGACAGCACTGGACCCACCAGCAGCACCCCCAGCCCCTGCTGCGCCCGGGTTCTGACCCCTCTGTCAGGGTGTCTGGGAGGCTTTTCGGCAGGTTTTGTGTGCTTGAGGCAGAGCACAGCGAGGCGAGGAGAGGAGAGGAGAGCAGGCACAAGGCAGGACCCTGCTTTGCTCATCCTGACTCAGGAGCCAAATCCTGCTCTCAGTGATAAGCCTGGAGTGGCAGGGGATGGGCAGAATGGAACAGCAAAGCCATGGGCACTCACTCCTCAGTCCTGCCCTACCCACCTTGTGCATCCATGCTGACCCCCAGCTGCCTGCTCCGTCTAAATCACCCGGGACAGGCGGCATTCCCAGTGCCTGCCTGCCATGGAGCGGGAGCTGCTGGTGGGCTGGAAACAACAGCCATATGTCAACGAAGGCTGAGGAACACGCTGTCTTTTGCTAGGGGGTGAATCAGTACGAGAGCCTGATATTCTTCTTCAGCTGAATTAATTAAGCAGCAATCTCGGGTATCTTTGTCTTCACAGCTATTATCTGCTTTTCCCAAAGTGCTCCTCAACGCATCACCCCAACAGGAGTGAGGGAATGAGTTCCCACCACCACCCTTCGCTCACACTCTCATTCCCCTGACGTGGGGAGGTAGAGAGGTGGGAGCTGACCTGGACACGATGCTCTCACACCTCCAGATCCGTGATGCAGCCAAGGTCAGTCCTGCCCCCCCAGAACCCTTGGGGAGCTTGTAGGGATGCTCCCGACTCATCCCCTTGGGATGCTGCTGAGGGGATGTGGGGCCAGAGGGCTGCAGGCAGCACAGCTTTACCACCACCATTCTCTCTGTTCACGCTTGCAGTCACCACTGGCCTGTTTTAGCTCCTTCCCCTGGGATTTTAACACCAGAACTCGCCTGCAGTTTGGGTGGGAGGGGAGGATGCGCGTTGCCTCTGTCAGCAAATCCTCCTGAAGAGATGCAAAGGACTTCCCTAGACACATGGAAGTGTTGGCTCTTGTTCCCAGCTGGGGAAACTGAGGCAGGGAGTGAGGGAAAACCACTGCCGCAAGTCTCCTGCATGGGTTAATGCGGAGACCGCAACCAAAAGCAGTGAAACTTGAAGGTCCCATGTGCCTTTAGCTGTGCCAGCACCTCGGGGTGCTCCACACCTCCAGAAAGCAGGCTGCCTGCGACCCGTCCTGGGTAACCAGAGCTGTAGGAGGTGACAAACCACTTCCCTGCCCTGAAACCGATCGGATGCTGTGGAGCCAGAGGGAGCAAGGATGAGCTGGACATGCTGTAGCCAGAAAGGAAAGGCCTGGGCAGGGGAGATGAGCTCTGCCTGGTGGCCCTGAGCTGTCCCATGGCCTCTCAGCCACTGATGGCCACAGCCACGCGGGGTGATGCTCAGGGACTGCGGGTTTCTCGCTGCTGACTCTAATCCGCCTCACCCCGATATAGCCACTGACCCGCTGGGCAGCTAAACTTAGCAGGATGAATCCTGCCCTGTGGCAGCAGGGCAGTGGGGACGGGGCCATAAGCACAGGTCCAGGACCCTCGGACCACCTCCCAGAGGCTGGGCAGGCCCCAGGGGTGTGGATGGAGGAGACAGGAGCAGGGAGATGGGGCACTCAGGCCATGAGCTCAGCTCACAGCCTCGAGGGAGCCAGACCCGCCCGTGAGCCCAAAGCGGAGACGTGGCACGAGCCCCCTTTAGCCGCCCCCGTTCCTCCCCTGTGTCTCACGGGAGAAGCGTCCCGGGCAATGCGGCACAGGGAGGGCCCGGGGGTGCAGCAGCAGCTGGTGCTGTCACTTGCGAGGGACACCGAGGGCAGAGGGGCAGGGGCCAGGTCCGGTCCCTCGCATCCTTGGGGAGCTGCTCGGCGGGGCTGAGAGCCTCCCACTCGTGACCGGTGGGAGCGGATCCCGCGGGGGAGCCGGCCCGGACGGGGCGGGCGCAGCGCTCACCGCTGCGGTAACGCTGCCCTCTAACGGCCGCCGGCCGGCCCCGCTCCAGCCCGGCCCCACGGGCTCCCCCCACGCTGGTTGCGGGGGGCTCGGGGGGACCCCCCCCACCGGCCCGTCCCGGCGCTGTTCTCACCTGCGCGTGGACCATGCCGCAGTCCCCGCAGGCCTCCGTGCAGCTCCCGGGCAGCACCAGGCACAGGACCCCGCGGCCGCCCCGATCCAGCTCCGGCCGCCCCAGCGGGGATGGGGGGGTCCCCCCCGGGGGACTTTGCCCCGCCAGCCCCGGTGCTCGGCTGACCCCAGCGCTGCAGGGCCCGGGGGCTGCGGGGCCGCCCCACAGCCGCCTGCGTGCGGCTCCAGCGAGGCGCTGGCGGGTCACCAGGAGCAGATTAGTGAGGTAAGGGGAGAGCTCTGAGCGCGCTCCCTGCCCCTGCCGTGCCGCTGCCGCCACCACCGTGTCCGCAAGCCAGCACGTCCTCGTGTGAACCGCCGCCGCCACCGCCGCCACCGCCGCCACCACCGCCGTGCACTCCCTGGGATGCACCAGCACCCGCGTACACCCCAACTGTGCCACCCTGCTTGGGCTGAGAACCAGCCATGCACGACGGGATGCACATGAGAGTGGATGCTGGAGGTCCCGTGGTACCCGCAGCCCTGCAGAGGGGACTTCTTCCCAGCCCACCAACAAGCAGAGCTCCGTGGTGCTGCAAACCGGGGAACACTCATCCCATGGGCACCCACCGACCAGCTGCGGCTCCTGGAGCGCAGTCACACACACAACCTCAGTCCCAAGCTGTGTGCAATTGCAGGTGGGAGGCAGGGGGATGTCGGAGCCAGCTCACCCTCATCCGGAGCTCTGTGCGTGCACAAGGTGGGTAGAGCAGGGGGGAAGGATGCAGGGGAAGCATCACCCTGCAGAGCACAGCCTCGTCCCAGCGTGTGGCACAGGTGACAGGCCAGCAGCCCCTTTGGGGTCATGGCTTGGTGACGATGCCCACAGTGCGGGCAGTGTGGGGACACACGAGCATCTCTGGGGTTACACCATGGGCCCCAGTGAGGACCAGTGCCTGGTGCTGAATGCTCAGCCTGGGCCATTTTCCCACCTGCCTCCTCCAGCCGCCCCATCTGCTCCTAGCAGCTGCCTCTTGGGGGGACTTAAGGGGGAAGAGCCATGTGTGCCTGGCCTCAGCAAGGCAGAGGGTGGCCCAGTGGCGGTGAGGAACAGAGCAGCGAAGGCAGGGAAGGGAAGAACTGTAAGAAGGCAATTACAAAGTAAAAGGCAATAGGAATCAGTAGCTGCTCAAAAAGCGCTTGCTGAGGCTGAGCAATCCCACAGGGGATTAACCCAGCGTGAGCTCAGCCCCTTATGCAACGGGAGGAGAAAACAGCATGGCATTTCTGGGGGCAAACCGGGTGCAAGCTCAGCGCTGGGGTCTGACAGAGCAGAGCCATGTGTGTGCAAGCCTGGCAGCACCATCCAGCCCCGAGGAAGAGGGCAGGAGGATGGGTTTCCCGAGGGCTACAGGAAAATAATACAGCCTGACAATATCACCCAGCTCTTGTTTCTCTAAACAGGTTATTTTTCCACTGCCTCACAAAGGCCCAGTATCGCCTCTCTCCTTATTACTCTTTGTGTCATATGCAGTTAATTATTCATCCCCTTTGTGCTGCTCCGGGAGCGGACACGGACCTCGGAGCTCCTGTCCTGGTGTGAGCTGCTTTAGCTCACAGCATCAGCCATAACCCCAGGGGCTCAGAGGGACCCAGCTCCTTGCAAGGCCAATGCCACAGGCTGGAGGGATGGAAGTTTGGCTGCTGGTACCCAAATTACCAACCCGGATGGCTCCTGGCCCTCCTCAAGCGCCTGGTCCGGGTGCCGTGGGCCAGTGGGGACTGCCAGGGAAGGGCCAGGCTGTCCAGATTTGCACATGGTAAAGGGGAATAGAGGGACCTGGGCAGCAAAGCCACTGATTACAATGATGTTTATCCTCTGGGACCAGATTCCCACATCCTGGCAGTGGCCCTGTCCCCCCGTGGCTGTGGCAGAGGAGCAGCACTGTTACAGCTACTCCTGTAACAGCCACCCAGCCAAGAGCCCCCTGATGGGTGCTAGGGCCTGCCTGGCCACCTCCTCACCCCGAGCCCTGCAGCTCTGTCAATTCACTGCTGTATTTTCAGGTAAATTAGGACAAACAAAGGAAAACGAGGGCTGGATGGAAGCATCGCCCTCTCTGTAAGCTCTGCACGAGGCTGCTTTAAAACTCACTTTGGACATGACCTGTTTGCAGCCGCTTGGCCAGCCCCTTGCAGACACCCAGTGCTGGGCTGCCTGGGCTCCCCTCCAGCCCCGTGCCGGGGTCCCACCGGGCACAGAGCTCCTGACAGACCCCTTCCTCTCTCCCCCAAACCCCACTCTGGGAATTGGAGCTGGGCACGTCCCTGCCTTCACTTCTCTGCAACAGGAGCAGCAGCTCCAGCAGCTTCAGGCCCTGACTCGCTCCCAGTCAGGGGCTGCCACTGTTGTCGTGCACACCCAGGGTCACCAGGGACAATCTCCTCCCGACAGCATCTTGGGGTGCTCTGCACCCCGTCCTGCCACAGCCCCCAGCGTGTGCTCGTGCCCCCACGGTACCTTATCGGCCAGGCACTCGGTGTCTTCGGTGAGCAGGTAGACGGCTCCGCTCTCGGCCAGCAGGATGGCAGTGTCGGTGGTGGAGGAGGACCGGGGGCGGCCCTGGTGCTGATGCAGGATGGCCGTGAGGCTGCTGTCCTGGGGGGCCTTGCGGAGGAGATGGGGGCTCCCCTTCTGCGGCTCCAAGGAGCCGCTCTTGGCGCGCCGGCTGCCGCTGTGCAGGCTGGTGCCGCGCTTGATGGAGGGGCGCGAGCGGATCTGCTGCAGCACGCGGTTGAAGGCGGTGGGACGCGCCGGGAGGTCGTGCAGGGACACGGCGTAGGACACGCGGTGCATCTCGGGGGACCTCTCCTTCTCGTCGGGGGAGTCGTGGTCGGACGCGGCGCAGGGCGGCGGCGCAGCCTCCTGCGAGCTCTGCTGCTCCCGCTCCCGCGAGCGCCGGCGGCTGTGGAAAAGGTGCTTCAGGCCGTGGCCGAACATGGACCCTTCGGAGAGCTGCTGGATTTTCTGCGGGACAGGAGAGAAAAGAGCCCCGGTTACTGCTCGGAAGGGACGGCATCGCCCTGCTCAGCACCCACGGCTCGGGTGGACGGTGCCCGCCCCGGCACCGAACCGAAACGCAAAGCTCATGGGCTCAAAGAGCTTCTGCAGGGCTCTGGTGACCCCACGGCAGCCCAAAGTGGCCTGGGGAAGGGAACACAATGCTGCTCGAGCACTTCACTGGATACCCACGGAGAAGCATTAAGCATTAGTGGCCGTTCGATGGCACACCGGGCTGAGCGCGGTGGCTCGGGACGTCTCAAACTATGCAGCTCCAACGGCATTCCCCGTGCTGGAGCAGCAGCTACCCCGAAACACAGCAAGAGCAGCAGAAAGACCCTTCAGCGCAATGGAGGTTACTCCCAGCCTCGGAGCCTTGGCCACAGTGCCAGGAGCCAGCCGCTCGCTGGAACAGGAAGGACGAGGGAGCGCTTTTCCCTGGGGGATTTTCCATGGCTCCGGAGCACAGCACGGACCGGGCTGGCCTCGCTTACGGAGGTGGAACCGCACCAAATGCAGTCCCTGCTGGGCAGCACTGGTGTTCGGGCACGCTGCTCCCCTGGGTTTCCTGTCCCAGGGGGCTCAGGCTCCTTTTCCCACACGGGACGGCTCCTGGGAAGCGGGCTGGCCTCAGCGGGGTCATGCAATATGGATGTGGAACGGATCCTGCTCACGTTACAGCCGGGGCACTCCGGAGCGGGTTCCCCGCAGCCACTGGAATGCCCAGATTTGCATCCCCAAGAGATCCTGGCTGGGTGCCCTCCACAATCCCTTGTGCTGCGGGCGGCAACTTCCAGCACCTGCAAAGATGGATCCCGGATCGCAGGGATCCCAGGTCTATGGCAGCTGCCAGGCAGCGATGTGACCCTGGGACAATGAAAGAGCCTCTCTGCTCCCAGAGCCCCCGCAGCTCCCGGGAACCCAGCGCTTCCCAAGGCACAAGTCTGCCCTGCTGCTCTGCCTGGGATTTGGAGGGAAGCTGAGCACTCTGCCCGTGAGGACGCCAGTCCTGACCCTGCTGACGTTCAGGGGCATCTCAGCACTGATTTACTGCGCCCGGGACTCTCCCCAGGGATGCTGGTTCCTGGAACTGCAGCACCGCATTTACCGGTGGTTGAAAACCAGTGTGAAACGGGCGCAGGACTGGGAACTGCTTGGCAAAGCAGTGACGTTTGAGACATGGCCTCCAGGAGCTGCAGAGCGCAGAGGATTTCATGGCCAGAAGGGATTCCTCCTCAAAATCCTGGGCATAGAATCATGGAATCAAAGTTTGTGTTGGAAGGGATCTTAAGGCTCATCCAGTTCCACGGGCAGGGACCCCTTCCACTGGAGCAGCTTGCTCCAAGCCCCTGTGTCCAACCTGGCCTTGAGCACTGCCAGGGATGGGGCAGCCACAGCTTCTCTGGGCACCCTGTGCCAGCGCCTCAGCACCCTCATAGTAAAGAATTAAAGCCAGGAGTCACAAATCCATAAGGGCCTAGTCCTCGTCACACCTGTAGTACTGGCAAGGAATCAGCAATCAGATCCTGTGTCACTAAACACTTTAATCCTCCTGTTACCCATCCCCAGTGAAAATTCCTGACCTTTTGGTTTTTCCTAGGAAATATATAATAAATCGACGGTGCTGAAGTGCTACTTTGGGAAATAGTGATTTAAATTTTATTCTATTTATAGAGTCTCTATGGAAACGGAGGCAGCATTAGGTAGGTAATAACTACAAACCCACAGATTTCTCCCATCAAGGGGATGGCACAGTTAGCCCTTTAGAAGGTCTCCATGAAAAGAAACGACCAACTTCCTTCCTTGAGTGTAACCCAAATGAAGGTGAAGCCAATAATAAAGGAAATAAAGGAGAGGAGTTTTCCCTCCTCAGATGGGTTCTGGGCCCATCTGATAGAAATTCACCTCTTAAAAGAAGCCCCTCGGGTCCTTTTCAAGTGTTAATGAAAGAGCCTTTCGTGGGCTCTGCAGGTGAGACTCCCAGTGGGATGGGAAGGGATCTGCACAGGGAAAGAGGGGAGGGAAGCAGAAAGAGGAATCCCAGCATCGCTGCTCCAGGCTTGAACCCCACCTTGTCAAGCTCAAGGCTTTCCTGCATTAGTTGTTGGGAATGGTCACCACAAACAAGTGCTACTGCAGAGCATTTGCTGATGGAAACCCTCTCTTTTCCCACATTACTCCAGGGTTCTTATTGCACTTCCAAAGCAGCGGCATTTTTCTGGCACGAAACCACTCG